TAAAACTACCTATTGTTAGTATAAAACATTTTACTGATAAAGCAACAATTTCCTCCCCGCTCTTAATGCACACAGTAGAGTTATGGGAATTCTGTGGTGAAATAACATTCCCATGCCAAGGCTACTCAAATTTTCCCTTCTACTCTGTTGTGTTCAGCTCAAGGGAAGGACTGGGAGTCTTTAAAGGAATGGCACCTCTTTACCAATTTAACTAGCAGAAAATATTCCTTTTCACCCCAATATGAATCCCAAGGGTTAAATGCAAGCATAGAGAACACATATCTGAAAAGCAGTTAGCCCATCTGAAAAGACTATCATGGATTTCATATCAAACAGAATTTAGGTCACATATTTGACATGCTGCATGAAATTATAAGCCTGTGATTATGGCAGAAATTGCTCAGAAATATGCAAAAGCCCAAGTTTACTGACAGTAGATATTTCCTTAGATTAAAGTTGATAAATATTTGCTGATGTTTTCTCACCAGTTCATTATACATTCTTCCACATCTCTCCCCAATAAATTATTTGAATAGCTGAATACAGTACTAGGGAAGATTGTACAAAAAGTAAAGAAATAAAATTTTAAAACCTATCAGTTTGTCTTCAGGCATAGTTTGGTAAGATGCTTTGGGACTATGTAATGTAAAAGAACTCAATGTTCTATATTGGGGTGGTCAATTTAGGTCAATCAGCAAATCAGTTTTCTGCCTCAGGACCCTTTAGGGAAGGGTTCCCAATCCTTTTCACCCCGCAGACCGGCTGGGGAAGGTGGGGTACCCCTGTACTTGTGTGCATGCACAAATGGCGGCATGGTGCTTGTGAGTGCGCATATGCACTCATGCGCATGTGCATGTGGAAATGGCGGTTCGGCACTTGCACTGGAGCACACACACACGTGCAAATCAGCTGTGTGTGGGTGAGTGCATGCAGGGGGTGGGGCGGGAGGTCTGTCTCTGCGGCCCGGTCTGGCTCAGGCCACGGACTGGCAATGGGCTGTGGACCAAGGGTTGGGGACCTCTGTCTAGTGGGTCATACAACCCACCAAAAGTACTAAAAGATACAATCTAGTGGCTAAAAGAGACCCCAGGGCCACACATTGTCTCTCTCCCGCTACTATCTATTTCTGGGCAAAATTCAAAGAGCTGGTTAGGACCTGTAAAGCTCTTTATGCTTTGAGCCGAGCCTATCTAGCCTATCTGAAAGACTATAGGCTTGCATGTATCTTCTCATACAAGCTGGCCTGGGCTTTGAGATCAGTAGAAGAGGTATTTAATCCACCTCTACTATTTTCTGAGGCTCATTTGGTAAGGACATGAGAAAATACCTTCTCCATGGTTTCTCTTGCCAAAGGAGGCTAAGAAAACCCCTTCTTGCTCTTCTTCCAGAGGCAGACTAAGACATTTTATTCAGGTAAGCTTTGGCAACTGATAGCCTAATGACAAGGGGTCTGAGACTTTGGGAGGTGAGTTTCCTTCATTTCTAAAGTAAATTATTAAACATTTTAACTCAGATGTTTTAAAATGTATCCACTTTAGTTGTGTTTTAATATTAGAATTGGTTTAACATTATTCTAATATTTGTATTTGCAATATTTGTATTTATCGACAAAGATCCTGAAATTTGTTGAGTGGGGATTTCAAAGCATTGTGTGCTCCCCAAAATGGCAAAATGAATGACATCAGTCTGGTTTTGCAGATAGAGCTGTGCAGCATGATTTCTGCGATTATGTTTTAGCAGTACTGCTTTTCAAAGCAACAACAAACAAACATGGAACCCAGTCCAGAAAGAAAGGCAATATGTATATGAAATCATATCAAATCCATATTCTATGTCGTAGCATCTACAGTTTCCACAGTATATGAGTATAGGCAACATACAAGATGAATGGGACCCTCAGTGCTGTTTGCCCCTGGCATCTTCCAGGTGCTTGGTACTACCATCCCTATGATCCTTAGCCAACATGACCATTAGCCATATGGGCTGGAATCCAGCATCTCTGAGGGCATCAGGGTGTGTGGAATGTTGATATAGCCCTTGTTACTGCTGCTTTAAGCAGGCTAGAGATCTATGCCTGTTTCATTATGTTCACATAAGAAAGGAAAAATAGTTGTATGAAATAACTCTTGGTAGTCTTAATCAGGGAGTAGGTCTAGAGTGCATGTGCAGTGCCTTAGACCCACTTTCATAAGCCTTGCAGGAAGGGTGAAAACGTCTCAGTCAACTCAAGGCAGCAGAAGCAAGGAAGATGCCAGAGAAAGGAGTAGAGGCTTATTGGCTGGATCAAGTCACAGAGAAACTTTAAAGCCCTCCCTGACAGCAATTGTTATTGTTTATGTTATTAAGGTGAGGGGGGCTTTGCTGTAAAAGCTATAGTGGACACAGATATTTGCCAGTTTTGTAGATTTAGTGTAGAAGAAAATCCTTGGGGATACAAATATGAATATTGGCCCCACAAGTGCCTGGCACAAACAGTTCCTCCCCCCTCCCAAACTGGCAGGTCCAATTAATGGTCATCATGTAGTGCACGCAGCCAGCATCATTCGTCTCATATCAATTGCGGAAGTAACCCAGCAGTGCTTCCCTGCCTCCCCATGCAGCTGACCACTCAACAGCTGAATGAGGAGACTCGTCATCCCACCTCCTTGTCAGAGTGAATATCCCATGTCTAATCGGTACTATAAATCAGGCTTGCACAACTTATAGCCCATCTACAACAACTCAGCATCCCTCACCACTGCCTACACTGGGTGGGACTGACAAAAAATTGCAATATACAAATTGCATGGAGTTGCTAGCTTTCAGGGCACCTGTTGAACTTTCAGAAAATTGCTGTGTTGCTCTGGTTTTCAAGCTGAGGAGGCATATCTCAGGTTGAGCATCACTAAAGAGGACAGATCTTATTTTATTTTTAATATGAGGTGGTTTTAAAGCCTGTTCACCATCTTTATGCCTTCTCAGCTGGCACAGGGCCCACTGGCTGAGTGTGAAGGCATTTCTGTCTGTGGTGCTTCAGATGGCACAATTAGCCCAAGTATATCATACCACCTGGCTGTCTCCCCAGTGTCCTTCCCTTACTTCTGGATTTTTGATATGCTAATATAGGGCCTGTTGTGCCATTTAAGGCAAGGCAGAGAGTGGAGCACCAGCATAATGACTCATGAGCTTTTCTTTTGCACAGCAATGGCAGCAGTGGTGACTAGACTAGAGGGGTAAACACTGCCTCTTCCTGACGCTAGTCTGCCCTGCATATGTGATATCACAAACACTCATTCCCTTGTCTTAGGCTTTGGCCCTGACATCTCAGGGAATAGAATGTTTCAGCCCTGGCAACTCAATTAATTGGTCATGCTTCCTACATGTAGATTGTTTCCATGAATTAAGAAATATCAATGATCCAAACTAGTTTGAGAGAAGCCTTGGAAAAGATTTAGCTAGGAGATTTATAGAAAATTAGGCAAGTAGACCAGGACTTATTGAGCTTTTATTAGTTGTTTTTTCTTGTTCCTCTATAATAAATCACAATGTCATTGTGTTTCCTTCTGTTTTGCTACTAAATGTAAAGCTTCCCTGCCTGATTTACATGACACTATGTACCTTCCATATCAAGTAACAGTTACTAAGGGAATGGCTAATTTCAATAAACTCAGTACACATTTTCTGTATGTAACATGGGCAGAAAAAACTGACTTTGTTTTTAAGTTGAAACTTATGGGTTTGTTCATGGTTTGATATTCATGCTTGCTTCTGGTGCAGTTTCTCTAAAGCTTTAAAAAATCCTCCAAAACTTGTTTGCCCTGATGATGGAGCAAAGGATTTGACTGTTTAATATTCAAAATAAACAGTAGTTATGATACCAATTTCTAATCTTTCTTTCCTCAGATTCGGAGGGAGAGAGGCAAGCAAATTTGTTCTTCATTGAAAAACAATATCATAGTTTTGGCGGGATTTTTGAACAAAAGTGTTATAAGCAAGTGTAGAAGAAAACTCCAGAGCTAGTGTTGCTTGACATATTGAATTTGGGCTTTGGAAGTGCATTACCTGACTGTACACTCAAAGCCTATGTACTCCATCTGTAAAAGCAGTGTTAATAATCCACAGGGCTGTTGCGAAGATAAATTAAGATAAGATTTGGATGCATTTTTGCACACACTGAAAAATATGGTAGAAGCGATTGCTGTGCAGAGGGTTGAACAGCAGTGCACTGCAAATTAAAATATAGATCAATCAACTTCATTTTAAGAAAACTCAAGGGTTAACAGAATCACATGACTGGAATGTCCATGAGATCATCAAGATCACCCCCAGCCAGCTTTTGCACACATCTGTTTTCCCTTCCAGACCAAATCAGTTTGCCAAAAGAGAGAGCAGCCACTCACTCAATTAGCAAAGAGTAAAGGACTAAAATCTCAGTTAAAGTTGAGTCGATTAGTTACTGAAAATTGTGCTATAGCTAAACAGAAGAATTATACATGCATTCCTGTAGATCAGGAATGGTTATACTTGCTAGCAATTACCAACAGTGCTAAAACAAATTCCCATTCCATCACACAGATAAGACAATGGAAACAACATTCTGCAACATTGTGAGTAACTGCAACATCAGCTCTTGTCACTTGTGCAGTACAATGAGCTTTTTAATTGCATCAGAGTAGATCTCTTGTGGCTAGTAAATAAATAAGTGTATAAATAAATGTCACTGAATCTCAGTGATCATTTTGAAAACTATCATTTTGAGCCTCCCAGAGGGGGGAGAACCTATTTAATGTCTTCAAATAAACAGCAAACAGGGCGGGCTTTTATTTTCCCCACAGAGCCCTTTCGAGTTCTAAAGGAAAAGAGTGTTTTAACTTACAGTGAGAGTTTTTAAAAGCGTCTGCATTCCATGGTGCTCCCAATGTTTTCAGCAGCCGCTACACTGAAGCTTGAGAATACTGCAAGGGCATGCAGACTTCATGGTTTAACACGCATTGCTCGAGAAACAAAAGATTCCTACTGACCTTTCTGTTGCTTAAACGACTGAATAGAACCCGAATGGTGGACCATCTTCATAGAGGAAAGCTTGACCGTAGCAATTTACTGAGCGTAGGAGAATCAAGGTGTTGCAAATTGGGAAACAGACTGGCTCTCACTGCTCCATAGAATCCAGCAGATTCGGAACGACTATGTAACCCAGCACCTGCTTCAGTGAGCGCTCAGCTTTGAAGACTCTACTCTGCTCCGTTGTCATAGAAACCAGAAAGACTGGTCCAGCATCTTGCTCCCCTTAGTGGATGCTTTAGGTATAATTCACTACATCAATCTAAAGGGGTGGAGGGGGCCCGAGAATGCAGCATTATATTACTTTGGATCTTCTCTTCCTACAATCCATTTTTGTCTCAGAGGAGGAAACACAAGCACTTGTTCCCTTTTTTTGATGCTCAGTGTCTCAACTAAATTTTTTTAGTTGTGAAGGGTAGATACCCTTAAGCTACAGCAATGGACAGACCTTTAGAAATTCATGTCAGCAAATGGGTGATAAAGGAGTTTTATAGATAGACCGCACAAGCATGTTTTAATTCTTTATCCTGTCTTTCAGTACTTCTTTTTGGTCCTTGAGGATTACTTACTTCACAAATGACATTTTTCCCCATACAGAAGAAATCTCCACATAGTGGAAAATGTCTACACGAGTGGGGTTCAATGTTACTTGTTTGCTGCAAGTACATTAGTTGTAAAGCCAGCATGTTATTTTTCCTTTTTACTTTGCTATGAGAATTCTTTTTGTTTGCTTGTTCAAAAAAGATGGAAATAAATAACATATTTCTACCTGGTCATTATGGTTGAAATGGATATCTAATGTCATTTAAACTAAATGAATGCATGGAACAATATCACAATTTCTATTGAGATTAGAGGGATTCCAATGCAGACTGCAGAATCTCAAAGAATGCACTCTGCAAGTTCTGGTGTTTTAGTCACTTAAGTAGTTATGTATTAAAAGTTGCTGGAATTCACACTTCTTCCTACCAGGTCAGTATACAACTGGCACACACATACATGCACACACATCATGTCACAATATAACAATGTCATACAACATCATAATAAAAAATGAAAAGCATAACATAGCAAAGTGTCCTAAAAAGCATTATAATACTTTAAAATGCCATCAATAAAAGTAAAATATAACAGTGGCAAAATGAAAGGGATATCAATTAAGAATATGTATTAGCTCCAATATTTCGATTCACAATTTGGATTTGGAATGTAGAATTACAACCCTTTTGAATTTCATATCTCTTACGTACCTAGGTGCACTAGTGCCCTGTGGTTTCTGAATAGAATCCATGTATCCAGATACCCCAACCATGATACAATGGGTCTACTGGAACTTCATAGTTTGTGTGTTTGGACATCTTCACAGCATGTTCTACCGAAAACCCATGGATCGATATACCTAATTCTATGCCTCCAGCTTCCATCCTGAGCACACGACAAAATCCATTGTTGACAGCCAAGTCCTCAGATACAACCACACCTTTTTAGGCCCACAAAACAGAGGCTCCAAAATCAAGTATCTTATAAAATTCAGTCCTCAAACTACAATACTCATCCAATGTCATTAAAGAACAAATCAACAGGGCAAGACGAATACCCAGAAGTAACCTACTGCAGGACAAGAAGAGAAAATAACAAAAAACCACTTTCAGCTCACAAATGAGCATCATAAATGATCTTCAGCCCATCCTTGACAAGAATACCTCACTTTCCCAAGCTCTAGGTGGCAAACTTATCTTTGCTTACAGACAACCCCCCAATCTCGAGCAACTACTGACACACAATGGCCTACAAAACACTGACACAGAGATGGAGACTAAACCTTGCTACAAGCTCAAAATCCAGTTCTGCCCCCACTTTTTTTGGCAATATGATTACAGGACCTAACAATGTCACACAGAACATCAAGAGTACCTTTACCTGTTCCTCTGTCAATGCTATCTAATGCCATCTTTTGCTAACAGTGCCCCTCTGCACTCTGTATAGGACAAACAGGACAGCTCTACCAATTGACTGATTCTCCAATATAAATCTGGCACCACCCTGCAGCTCAGAGACATTCAGGATGGCTGTTGGTAATAGGGCGCCAATTTTACCACAAAGGTATAGAATGTGGAAGATAATGTTTGGTGCTCTTCATCAATTTATTCTCCAACCACAAAATCAGCATCACTGCAGTGCCCAAGCTGCCACTGTTGTCTGAGTGCTGATGCCATCCTTGTCCTTTTTGTGGCACATCATTTTTTTAAGGGAAAAGTGCCTTCGCCATCTGCTACAGTGGGTGCAGGCAGCATTCCGGAAGCCTTTCCCAACTGCCTCCTTCTTCCAGCACACCCATCTTTTATATTGCCTGCGAACTCTACTAATCCTAAACGTTATTCCTAACTATATTATGTCAACAATATGCAATGATATGTAGGGAATGTAAATGTAAGCTGAAAGTTTAGAAAAGGAGACAGAAAAATACTGCTGCAGTATAGCGTTGCATCAGGGCATATCCCAAGAGCAAATGCTCAGGGGATTTATAAACACCCTTCAATTGGAAAGAACCAATGTGAAAAAAAAAACCTTCTAGTGTCTCTGTGTGCTTCTAGTTTTCATTGGTGCAGACAGACGTCATTTACAAGTTTTGCTCTGACCCCAGTCCCCCTCCCTTGGGAAACCCATGGCAACTCCGGTCTAGAGACACAGAATTCTCTGCCCTAATTCCATTGGTGCTGGAGTGCCTTTAAGTTCCACGTCTCAAGAAATCACTCCAAGATGCCTGAGAAATGTTTCATTTTCTCTTCTTCCTCTAGGAAGCAGAAACCTAACCTTTTGCTTTCTAATCTGTAGTAGTAAATGGGACTCTGAATATTAGGAATCATTATTACAGATATTCAGCACTATCAAATTCAGCTTTGCATATATTCAAAACTGAATATTACCAGCATATATGAATACAGCAGTATTCGATGAATTCCAAATATGTCTGAATCCAAATGCACATCCTTAGTATCAAGACTATTTCAGCAACTTTCAGTCAGGTGAGCATAGCAAAAATATGGTACCAACACAGAGAAAGACCTCTGCCTAGTTCATGCAAATGACTGTGCCCAACCAAAGACACTGACAGAAGACTATTTTCTGAAGTTCCTAAGACACTCTTACCATATTTTTGACTTTCATATCCTGTACTTTGAATGAAATTATTTTGGTTCTGAAATCAGGCCAACACATTAGGACATTTTCCCTTGTTCTGGTTTTAGTTTTAAACATATTTTGTCTGAATCTCCACTTCCTTTGGTTTATTTGTGGAGTTTCTGTCACATTGTCAATATACATATGCAGAGTTGTAAGATACTGCAAGAGATGCCATGGCCATAAATATGATTCCTTTTAGCTTCTTTTTCTGTGGCATTTATCAGTATGTAAGCATGGGTTTGTTTAACTTCAAGATAAAACACTAAAACAATAATAGCAGCCTTACCAAACTAGATGTGATTGCAAATGTTCTTTTTTGGTGGAGCTGACTGCAGTAATGTTTTATCAGTTTTATTGATGACACACTACACAAAAGGAAGTACTTGAGATGCTCTAAAAGTAGATTCATTGCCTCAAATCCTGTTGCTGTAATTTACATTGCTTAAGGCTGATGATGTCAACAGCAGGTGTCATTTTGTAGAAATTAAACATTTCCAATTTCTCCACCAAAGCTCTCATGTAATCCCTTTCATCATTGGGAACCCATGGAAGCTGTGGGACAGGAGGGGGAAGTCTTTAACTACTGAAAATTGATACTGCTGGTAAAGTCATCTTGGCAGTGGTGATCGTCCGTAAGTAAAGTCTTCACTTTGCCCAACCATCCCGTGGCTTCCATGAGTTCCCAATGACAAATGGAATTTCCCAGAAGCCTTGTTTAATTAAAAAAAAAACTGCTGCTGCTGACATCATCAGCCTTATGTGGCATATATTATGGCAACAAGATTTTCAACCCATTTGTATATGGAGAGACTGCCACTGAAGATATTGAGGACAGCTGGGGTACTCCTTCAGTAATGCCTTCATGAACAACATTACATCATGAAACAAATTTCTCAGTTGGAGAGATGGCATTTTATAGAACCATGCAAATTAACTGAAGGAACTGAAAGCTGAGGCAAAGGCATATTTACCAATTCTGGAGGAGGGGAAAGAGCTTTACAAAATCCTGTGGCTAAAGTAAAATTTAGAAGGAACAGGATACAAGGCAAAACTACTGAGACAAACAAAACATGAATGAAATGGGACAAATCTATTGAAAACAGATTATTAACAGATTGATTCACATTTGCCTCTTCACAAACATAAAAGCTTAAGGAAGAAAAACATTTGGAACACGGCCAAATAGCCTGAAAAACCTACAACCACCATAAGGGCTCCTCTTTGTAGAGGTGGCTGAGATCTAATAAAGGACTTGCTGCTGCTGCTGCTGCTGCTGCTGCTGCTGCTGCTGCTGCTGCTGCTGCTGCTGCTGCTGCTGCTGCTGCTGCTGCTGCTGCTGCTGCTGCTGCTGCTGCTGCTGCTGTTATTGCTGTTATTGCTATTGTTGTTGTTATTGCTATTGTTATTGTTAATTTGGGCAGTTTCCTCTTTCCTGAGTGCCATTTTCTGTGCTGGTCCAGAGTAGCCCCCAGTCCACAGGTGTAAACTTTCAGGATACACAGCAGGCTGGCAGGGAAAAGGAGGAATCTACAGGGGACGTTCTGCTCCCCTTCTTCCAGTGGGAACATTTCTTGAATAGAATTCTCCTCATGGAAAGTTTTGATCCATCCCATTACACATATTTGAAAGATAAAGACATTTTTTGCTCTGCCTTGCACTAGAGGAGCTCTCTGGAAAATGAAGATAAGGTACAAGAAAAGGAGACTTATAAGAAACATAAATTATGGTGGGTAGTGATGTAAGCCCAAGCTCTTCCATGTATTTTTATGCCACAACGTTTCTACATTGAGAAGAAAGCCAATGTAGGATTTCCACATTACATGGGAATCTAGAAGAGAATGTGGAAACTGGATGAGAACATTCTGAAAGAATGTTATTCATTCCAGCAAGTTAACTTGCTCTTGCTCACTTCAGTGAATTAGTTGTTCTGCTACCTGCAAACTACATGTGCATCTCTATTAAAAA